GCATTTAAAATATATCATTATCTTTCTTCTGCTTCATTCATTATTTTTTTCTCTTAAACTATAATTAATGCATCCAAAAACTTAAAAATACTTAAACTACAATTAATTGAAACTGTAATAATTGAAATTTTTTAAAATTAAAATATTAAAATCTCATAAAATTAAAATAAATTATCTCGAAAAAGCATATTTTTTTGAAAAATATAACCTATATTATATATAAAATAAAATCATACATTTTACCTGATGATAACACATTGGCTTTCCTTATCAATTAACATATTTCTGTACATATTATCTGCTAATCCATATATATGAGGAGGATTTTCATATAATATCTAAAATTTAATTACAAGTATTGTAACAAATTAATTTGCACAACTGTGAAATTTGTAATTTAAAAGAATTATAGATATTCTCTTATTATTACTTACTGCTCCTTGATAAATTTCGATTTCCTTTTCTCCAAAATATGGCATTTGTTTAAAAGGATTAATTGATACTAGTACAGAACCAATACATGTCTAATAACTATTAAGGAAATTATTTTAATTTTTATAATTGAAATCTTTAATAATAGAAATATATTTTAAAATGATTGAAGCATCAGACGCGAAGAATTTCACAATATTACAAAAATTTTTTTTATTTAACATAAGTTTTGCTTTTTAGCAATTCTTAAAAACTTTAGAATGACACCTATTTTTAATTTTAAATTTTAAAATTATTTAAATATTAAAATTTTAGTGATAGGTGAAAATCTAGTAAAATCAGCATAATAATTTTGGGAAAGAATAATAGTATAAAAATTATAGTATTGTATAAATTGTGACCAATCGTTAATCAAAGTGATAAACAAAATGTTCGCGGTATTATTGACCAGCATTATAAATACTAAGTTTTTAGAAAAAGTAAAAGAGGAAAAAGTTGTAATGTTTTCTTACAAGTAACATGATGCCATGTAATTTATCATAGGAGATTGTTAATTCGTATAGAATTAAGTTATCCCAAAATATGAATTAATAATTCAATAATTATTAATCATGCATGTTTAATAATATTTTTTTATAATTTTACTACTTATAATTGAAACATCCAAAAATCTTTCATTTCCGATAATACTGGAGTCTCCTGATACAGCTTTTCTTCTAATAAGTAATATTAGATTAGTAATATCATCAAGTTTATTATATCATTAATTTTAGTATTATTCAGAAATTCATTTTATCCAGATGTAGGAAATAATTGAATAGTTTATATTTATATTATTCATTGGCTTCAATTAATTTAGCAATTTTTTCTTTATATAAAATTGGAATGCCACCTACTATAGAATTTTAATAATAAAATTTTAGTAATGATTTTAATAATACAATTTTCACTAAATTATAGTTTATTGACTTATTTTCTTGATCAACTTGTATTACTGTAAGTTTATTAATTTTATTGTTATCAGTTTTAGCTGGAGCAATTACTATATTATTACTTACTCTAATCAAAATTAGAGTACAGTACTATAAGTAGGTAATATATGTAACCTTCAATTTTTTAAATGGTATAATATATTTTTTGATCCATTAATTCACTAATCAATTGATTGACATCATTAATCTGAGATTGACATTCTTTATTAAACTTTTAGTTTAGGAGATATTTGAACTTTCATTTTGTAAAATCTATGCATGAAAGATAAGGAGAGTATGAAAACAAAAATATTGTTCCTATCTTTCCTCGTTTTTCATATGCTAAGTTTTACAGAATTAAGGTTAAAAAATCTCCTAAATTAATAGTTTTTTGACATACATAGATTAATATTTTTTATAGTACTTTTAGTTTTTTCATGATTTTTTAAATATTTATTAAATAATTATTGAATTATTATTATTACTAATATTCTTTAAATTTTTAGCCTTGTTAATACTTGTTTGATATTAATGTTTGAATTAATTTAATTATTTTGATAGTATACTAGAAAATGAATTTTTTGCAGTCACATATCTTATTGTTAGCGTTTCAGCTAATTTTATAGAAAAGTTGAAATTACTATATAAGTTACATTTGCGCTGCAATGATAGCAACAATTAATTCTGAGCGCAAAAATTTGCATGGTTTGAAGTAATTTTTTACGGTTTTAAGTAACAGTAACTACTGCAATTTATTAATAAAGCTGTAAAAGTACCGAAAAAAATATGGAATGGAAAAAATTTATCACATTTAAGAGTATGGATGCACATTTTGGATGTAAAATACAACTATATGTCATAAGAAATTTAATCCAGACATAAGAAAAATAATCAAGATACACGATGTTGCATTCTAAAGAGATTACACATCAGGAAATTTTTTCAACATTAGTGAAACACTATTATAAAAATGATTTCCATGTACACCATTGAAATTTAACAGATCCTTTCAAAGAAATGTTTACGGAAAAGTCTAAAGCTTTCACTGTAAAGGCCAAGAGAATAAGATATGTTAACTTATATCAATTGTAATACAATAAAAAAGCAATTTAAAGTCTAAAATATAAATATGGAATAAAAAGATCAATGATACAATAGCCAAAAACTAAAAAGAATTACATAAAGATGTCATATATATATATATATACCTGCTTAGAATGGATTTTAATGGTTATATTATATACTCGGGAAATTATGACAGAATGTCCAAATTATAATTCATAATTTCCTGCATAATACATACTACAACTATATAACTTATGCCAATTATTCTTCACTTTGTGCTATACGATAGTAATCTTCTTTTCATGTTTCATGTTTCATCTGTATATCATTCAGTTAAATATCGGGTATTACCGATCAATTTACAACACTAGACAATAAAAGTTACCAGTCATGATAAGATATAAAATTGAATTCTTATTTTTAATTACTCGCTGACGAAGGAATTTATTCAATGTATTCTTGAATGCATTCTTTTGACTAATTATGTATGAACAGAAGTAGCATACGCATGTGTCTAGTAATGATAACGATATCCTCATTGCTTTGTAAAACATTGTAATCCATCAATGAAATAAAGTAAAATAGGTAGTTCGTTGGATTGCCATTTTAGTATTGGCACCATCTTTTTCATAATATTTTTTCTTGAACTCCATGTTACTTCTATATTTTCATCAGAATAACTAACCAAACGTTACTTCAAAATCATAATGATCCAACTTTTTTCTTAATTCTTCAATTTTACTTTTCAACATTGGACCGCTAATACATAGTAATGACCCCATCCTTTGAATGAAAAACCATTGATTTAAGATCATCTTCAATCTTGACGATTATGTTTCTAGGCGATTTATTCTCTGTTTTCTATTGCATACCGATTCTTTTTGCAATTGTATGCTTCATGCAACTGGGGATTTCTTTCAGACTTTTTAGTTTGAAAAATTGATAAGGAAAACTATAATTACAAAAATTATAATACTACAAAACGTATTCTACATTTAACATTATTGATTTAGTAATGAACGAAATGCATGATATTGGAGATTGGCGAAAAAAATTAATTATAACCGAAGCTTAGATTTTTCATAGGGAATTTTTATCATCCATTCACACATAATCTGTCTTATTTGTATCGGTCGATAATGATCACCGAATAATCTGTCTTTTAGATTAAATGTAGTTTGGCATACTTTGTATCGGTCGCATACACACACAAATGATGAGTTGAAATTGTTCCAAAAAGATAAAGTAATAGAAGAAAAATACGAAACGTAAGGGCTATAGTCAGTTTCAAATTGTAGAATATTTCCTCAACTGAGTGGAGGAAACTAAAGTTATTCGATGAAGTTTTGTTTCTTCAATTTGGCCTCAAATAAATAGCTATCTCGATAACCCAAATAAATAAAAATCACTATATATACAGAGTGTTTCAAATTTAAATATCAATTTCACAACGTGTAGATCAATAAGCTAAAAAAAAAAGTTTTTAAAGGTATGCTTATTTTTCCTATGTATTTGGAAATAATCGTAAAAGAGAACAAAACTTCTTATTTTCTCATTTACTTATTGACACTTTTATTTACTTATATTATCGAATATTTAGTACCTCTTATTGCAAGCAGTGGATCTAATACTAATTGCTCTAATTCCAGTTAGACATCTTGTGTCCTTTTGAATTTAATTAGCATTAAATAAGCTTCGTTAAATTTATATCAGATGGTCAAGATATAATTCTTTCATGTATAATCCATCGTCGTGGATAATTAATGTCCAGCTTCGAATTACGTTCACATTTAAATCTGTTGTTGTAAGGGAATATCCTCTAAAATAATTTAAAAAAATTATTTTCTTCAAGAAATGTGATTCCATTTGGACAAGAAATGTGGCCCATCTAAAAATCCATTCCAAATTCTGAGCCAAACATTTGTAAAAAAATTTTGTTGTATACTGTGGTAGCTCTGATTTTTATACATGGTAATTTCTTTGATTAACAACTCTTCTTCTTATGAAAATTGCTTCACCTGTCCATGTTATTTTTAATGCACATGCGAAATAATTCAATGAATCAACCGCTTAGTCTTTAGATGATAAATATTGCATTTTTTGAAAATGGTACTTTCAAAGTTCGCCATGGTACCCCTAATACAATTGATGCTTTTCAGATGCTAGTCTCAGGATTGTTATTAAAATGGTATTAGATGCGATTTCTTGTTCGCAAATGTATTCCTAACACTGCATGAAATTACTTGTTTTTGTGATGAAGTGAAACTTTGGAAGGAAGTTCCAAGGAGGAAGTTCCCTAATTTTCCCATCGGTTCGAAATAATAGAGAAATTATCTGACTTCAGTAAAGTACAAATTGTACTCGTCTGAGAGAACTCGTCTGGTATCGATAAGGGATAGTTAGCTTTCCAAGTCTGAGAGTAACACTATGTTACAAATTGAAACGATAGTTCTTTGATAGTAAACAGTACAATTTGGTAATATAATAAAATTATGATCTTCGTCCCATTTTGTATATCATACTGTAAAGCTATCAATGTTCGATAAAATGTTCGTGTAAATGTTTGTTGCAAACTTAACATTACAATAATAAATACATAATAATATAAATAAATAAGTGAAAAAATAAGATTTTGCGAGATTACCTCCAAAACGAAATAAAAACGAATATATCTTTAAAGGACTTTTTTTCTTGATCCCCTGGTTTATTAGTCCTTTACATGCTTCTGAACTTTTAACATTTAAATTTCCTGTATATTTATATAACCAATTATATATTTACCAATTTATATATCTTAGATATATCTTAGATATATCTTATATATATATATATAAAATTGGTATATAAATATACAGGAAATTTAAGTGTTAAAAGTATGTACACACACAATTTATACATCTGACGTTGAATTTATTAAAAGAATTATGTCAAGAACAAAAGTTTTATGTCTTGCTACATTTTGCATTATCACTTACTCAGATGAAAATAACTAATTTGAAAAATATAATTCATGACACAATCGTTATTAATACTTTAAAGAATACAATTCATTATTAATACTTAATGAAATTTTATACAAACTTTTACTTAAATAACCCTTGGTTTAAAATCCTTTATTCTAACCGAATCTAAAGCCAGATATGTTTTAAAATTGTTGGAAAATTGTCAGTTAAATTGGCCTGTATCTAAGAATATGAGTCTGAGAATATGAATGTAGCGAAAAGATCATGGTTAATGATTGATTCAGTTGACTGAGAAATCAAATCAATGAAAACAAATGTGACAAAACATAATAAATAAATGATTGATTCAGCTGGCAATTTGATTACTAGATTTGACTAACTTATTTCATCAGTTTGGTATATAGTCTGGTGAGCAGCAGCTAGCTATATATTCAATATTGTCAATTGAATCAGTCAACTATGAGATCTACTTGTAGTAAAATAGTATATATAGTATAGTATATATATAGTATATGTATAGTATATATATAGTATAGTATATTCGTAGTAAAATGTTCTAATTAAAAAATTTATTTATTCTCAGACGAATATAAGAAAGTCTATTATAGACTCTTGTGGAAAACGGACAAGCATTGGTAACGAACAGGATGGATAACGGAAAACTTAATTTCAAACTTGTATATATACAGTGATTTCTCTGATATGACAATACTGGCCTGACATGTGCGACATTTTGTCAATCATGTGTTTTCAAAATAAACCACTCAGAAACAAGGACCGCATTTTGCGATCGTGATACGACTTTAAAATCTAAATCTCATTTTAAATTTTGTGTTAAGAAAACTAAAGCAAATTTTCTCTCGACCATATTACTTTTAACCTAATACTTTTAATATTCGTGAATATTTAATATATATTCGTGAATTTAAATATATACAGTATTTAACAATCTTTTAATATATCTGTC